CAGCTCCCCTTTGTCCCAACTAAAACACACAAACCTATGTAGGCCCGGGCCAAGACAGCAGGTGTTTAGATCCCTTTCCTCCATCTGCCCTCCTTATCGTTTCTCTGGCTGATATTTTCTTACTAATACAATAAGTAGGGTCCCTGAACCTGATACACAAGGCTTGCTTTTCTTATACTATCCATTTAATAATGGAGCTTGCATCCATTCATTTCTCCTGTATGTCATTATTTTTCTCTTTCTCCTTCTCTGTGTTTTTGCTGCTCGCTTTATGAATAAGTAAATGCAGTATTTGGTTTCCCCGTCGTTAATTATTGAAGCGACAGTGATACAAGACTTGCCTCCCAGTGCGCCCAGTGCACCAGACCCATGTTTTAGCTCGTTCCTAGGCAACCAGGCTGCATATAGTCAGGCATCAGTAACATCCTAATGATTCTGCTGCGCATGCGATGAGGGGGAGTGCAATTTACACACAAATCAGTTGGGCTACCATTTGCATCCTGTCACAAGGCTTAAGAGAATGAATATGTAATGTTTTTTTTTTCCTCTGTGTCTTTCATATCTTGGAAGAGAAACGTGTGTTAAATGACAATGCTATCACAACAGTTGTCTCTTATTGGAGCTTGTTACATGGTTGTGTACAAGGGCATGTTGCCATAAAGGGCTTATTTCACTCATTTAAATGGGGAGAGGAGGGGCTGAACGACACTTTCTTCGAGGTTAGCAGTCGTAGGACGAGCTGGGGTCAAAGCACGGGAAGCAGAAACCTGAGGTTACTGGATTTGAACTCCCACTGCATTGACATGTGATGAGTGTCATCATTGCACCAAACATTTACAAGCTGTCAAGCTGGTTTTAAACACTCTATGAGAGGCACAGTGGGCATTGGGGATTTTCCCTGGTATTGACGAGAGGCAGCAGGGTCAATCAGAGAGTAAATAAATGATTGAAAGAATTGGCTCGGCCACAATAGCCGAGGCTACTCAGTCGATCCTGGATATTGATCTGTAGGTAGATGGCATCAGTGAGAAGCAGGGGCTGTTTGAATGAAGAATTGAAATGAAGACTTGATTGGAATTATTTGTCCTTTAGCTTTGTCTTGTTTACAAATGACGCTTCAGCTCACATTAGCGTCCTGTGTTTCAGGTGAGTGAGAAGTGGTGCGCTCTCCAGAGAATATCTTACTGCAACTATTAATTTAGCTGATGTACAAGCAAGATGAACCTCATATACTGTATGTTCTGAATGGCCACATATACTGCATGCTGCAAGGTTAAATTTCAACAATGTTGGAAGAATAGTCTCCGCTCTATTCCAGTCTTAACTCAGTCACAAGTCAGGAAAGAAGAAAGAAAGGGTCCAAGGTCCAGCCAATTATGAAAAAGTAGAACAGTGTAGGAGCAATGGACGGAATCAAACAAAGACTTGGGAGATTAAACCTCGGACTTTAAGGTGAAAGACTCCCCACCATTTGGACAAGGACATCAGCTTTGGTTCCACTGGGTTCCAGTGACAGTGGCGGCTGGCGTAAAGCATTATTAATGACCAAGGAAACTGGCCTTCAGGCTAGGCGTTAATTATATCACTGGAGAGCTGGGGGAGAGAGCGAAAACACGGGAGGGTGGGGCCACTCCCTGTGTTTTGTGTGTGTGTGTGTGTGTGTGTGTGTGTGTGTGTGTGTGTTTGTTTTACATTGTTAAGCCATTACTGTCCTCATTTCTATGGGAAGCCTGGTGAACAGATAGATTGTGTTTGAATATGATGCCAGAAACACTCCCCAACATCAGCCTCTCTGAGATTTGATTCCTGCAACTGTTTTTTCTTTCATCTTACTCATGAAAGATAGTCTCAGAAAATGTGGCAACACCCCTTTATACAAATAAGATCAGGATGAAGGGTAAGCCCAGTTCAGAAAGCACAGACCAGTGTTCATTCAGTCAAGCTAGCATGCCCTTGAACTACCTGTCTCTCCTCCTCACCAAAATAATCCATTAATGTTATTCCACTTTACTTAATTTATTTAATGAAAATGTATGCTCTGATTCAGCATTTCACTTTTCTCACTAATCTAAATGTGACGGAGTTAACTGGAGAGATAATTTGGTTAGCTACAGGCTACTGTTTTCATCATTAAGCCCGTCTTAATCACCACCATCCTTTCTTTACACTGGCACAGATTCACAGCCTAGTGCTCTGCGTGCCATGTGCAGGGGGTGTGTTTTTGAAGCCCGGCGCCTGCATGTGACAGGTCCATCGGCCGTGAGCAACCCTCCATTCCTCTGCCGTCGCATAGCATCTGTGGCGTTGTTCTTTAAAAGGCCAAGGGCCACTCACTGTGTATCCCCTTCAACGCAGCTCTGTGTCAGCCCTCCTTACAATCATAGTGTGACTTCAGATGTGGGGCTAAAGAGGGAAAGGCTCGCTTAATGGGGTTGAACAGGACACCAGACAAGTTTGTTTACTAGACCTGCCCAGCTTTTAGTCTGGGTTAAATAGGACAGAGGGATGTCAACTGTACAGTGTCAACATGTGTAGCAAAGATGAATGAACTGTTACTTTTATACAGTGTTGAAATTGGTCAGTTAATGAATTAAAGGTCCAGTGTGTAGGATTTAGTGGCATCTAACAGTGAGGTTGCAGAACTGAAATGTCTCCTGTGTGCCAAGTGTGTAGGAGAGTTAAGGTGGCTGACGTTGAAAACGCAAATGGCCCTGTCAGGAGCCAGTGTTTGATATCTTCTGTCTATTTCTTGATAACATGGTGGACTGTGTGGAAGAGGACCTGTGCAATATAGAGATGTAAACAGCCTATTCTAAGTTAACAAAAATACTGTGATTTTTATTTTCAGGAGATTATAAACTAATGAAAACATAGCTTTGAATATCGTACTATATAATGATGAAAACTCTGTCTGTGTGTCTGTTCCACATTTTTCTCCTCACTGACTTGGTCAATCCATGTGAAATTTGGCACAGTGGTAGAGGGTCATGGGAGGATGCGAATGAAGCAATATTACATCAATTGGCCAAATTGCAAACTTTGAATGGGCATATCTCATGCCCCGTATGTCGTAGAGACATGAAACTTTGCACAGAGATGCCTCTCCTCATGAGGAACAAATTTGCCTCAAGAACCCATAACTTCAGGTTATATAGATTTTCCGCCATTTTGAATTTTTTTTGAAAAACACTTAAAATCAATCTCTGTTTAACCAATCTGCATGAAACTCAGTGAACATAATCTAGGGACCAATATCTAAAGTTCCCTCTTGGCAAAAGTGGGAAAACTTACTCAAACCGAGCTTCTATAAGGCAATGAATATTGCGGAGGGCGTGGCTCATCATATAAAGGTGTATAACATCTCAAGGGTTTCACCGATCACCACGCAACTTTGTAGGCATATGACCACACATAATCTGAGGGGACCCCTCCATTATTGACCCCATCAAACAAAATGGGGGCGCTAGAGAGCTAATTTCTTATCTAGGCCTAATCGCCATATCAATTTTTACTAAACTTGGTAGATATGTAGAACAGGACGCCTCAAGGTGACTGGAGAAATTTAACTCTAATTGGCAACTGGGTGGCACTATAACAACAGAAAAATGCTTAAAAATGCGACCGATCGCTGTGGCTCCTCCAGTGGACCAATGTTTTTGTTTTGTTTTTTCTAATTTTTGGTATGACTAAGTCATGGTATGCTGTACATAATCACGGAAACTGTCAGTGTGTCATTCTGTCTGTCCCACGTTTTTCTACTCACTGACGTGCTCAATCTACTGTACTTTCAATAAAGCAATCGTACTATCAAATTCACAAAAACTCTGTCTGAATACATTGCTCTTCTTAATGGGTTCAGTTGATTATTTAATCTGCAATTTCCTATGACCTGTATCCCAAACACACACCATGTGAAACTGTACATGGGCAACTGTGCACTCAATGGGTAATGTACTAATTATGCAGGAAGCCTAAATCCTGCATGCTGGACTTATATCTAATGAATCAACAGTAGTTTTGATAATTAAGTCATTCCTTAAGCTAAAATATTTGCTGGTTCCAGCTTCCTAAAAATAACAATTTGATGCCCTGTTTAATATCATGAGAAATTGAGCATCTTTGGGTTTTGGACTGTTATTTGTACAAAATAAGCTTCATGAAGATGTCGCCTTGGGCTATGGGAAACTGATCAAAGTGTGAAAAGTTACTGCTACCATTAATGTTGCTGAAGTGCCATGTTACATGGGAACAAGACAATCATCCACCAGTGGTTTGGTATCCTACAGGCCTAAAATGCTAAATATTTGCTGGTTCCAGCTTTGAAAATGTGACCATTTGATAATTTTTTTGTGTTTTATATCATTATAAATTTAAAGGTCCAGTGTGTAGGATATACAATACGATACGATACAATACGATACTATACAATACGATACTGTGCGGTACGGTACGATACGATACGGTATGATTCGGTACGGTATGGTACGGTATGGTATGGTATGGTATGATACGGTATGGTGCGATACGATTCAGTATGGTATGGTATGATACGATACGATATACTTTATTGTCTCCGTAGGGAACTTTGTCTTGGACTCAGGAGCTGCACAAGTATTGCTGCCTTACAATAATAGTCCAGAAGATATGAATAGCATACACCATAAAAACAAAAAACATAAAAACACATACTACATATAACAGTATTGCACATCAGCCACTCATGTATTGAAAATAACACCAGCACACAAGAGAGCACCATAAGAAACTGTGCTGGACATTTTTAACCATTCTCTGGGATTCTCTGATAATCTAATTGTTACTTGCAGCCCTACTGTTATCACCAAACAAGCTAAAGTGTTGGTAACTTTCACCACACTGTCATTCTTTAAAACTAAAGATCAAGTTTTGTTGACCCTATTCTCCTTTTCGGAGACATCCGCTATCACCACCAATCCCAATCCTTCCATTCACTAACCTCAGCTCTTTTCTCCACACCTCAGTGTTCAGGGAGCCCTACACAGTCCGTGTGGCCGACCAGCGCTCCATGCGGGGTAATGTCGCCGTGTTCAAGTGCCTCATCCCCTCAGCCGTCCAGGAGTACGTCAGTGTGGTGTCCTGGGAAAAAGACACCGTCTCCATCGTCCCAGGTAGGAAAGTCAGCCAATGATAGTCATTTGAGGTTCACCAAAATCACAAACGGCCCTGCATCCACTTTGTGTTGCTGTCCTTTCTTGCTGACATACACTGTCAATGCAAACTCCATTCGGATGACCATGTGAGTTATATTTGGCTCAGTGCGTGCTGGCTGTGTTTGATCAGGTGGTGAATAATAATGGAAAGCAAATGGTCTGATGTCGTCCCAATATGTCAGTGGACTTAAGAACATTTGCCCTCAGAGAAATGACAAATTTCTCCTGTTATTTTACACTAAAGAAATCCCAACCCAAAAATACAATCAGTAGTTTAAAAATGGGAGTTTTGTTATGATTTTTTTCCCTTGTTTGCTGTGTTTGGGATTGTTGACAGCCCTTAATCGATACTAATCAATGTAATTGTGTCACTGACATCTCCTATTTGGTCAGTGAGAGAGGATGGAAGAAGATTTAAAAAATGGTCCAATCACTCAAAAAGAAGTCTGATGAAATGGCCTTTGCTTGGCACATCCCAGGCTCCTCACTCACTAACTGACACCACTGTGGTTAATAGCTGTGTTACAGGGATAAATCAGGCATTAGTAGACATGTGCTATGTGTGTGTGTGTGTGTGTGTGTGTGTGTGTGTGTGTGAGAGAGAGCGAGAGAGAGAAGGACAGAGTGTGTGTGTGGGCTGGGGGGGATCTAATTTGATGAGTGATAGATCTGTTTAGCTGCTCATCACAGTCACCCAAAAGAGAGCAGCCACACCTCTAGGGCTCTGCTGTGTCTGGAGCTCTTCTCTCTGCTTCATCTCATCCTCTATTCAGATCTTTCCATGTGTATGTGACGAATAATAATATCAGTTTGAAATAGAGCTTCCTACACGCTGCTGTATGTTGTGTCTACATGTGCTGTGTGAGTGTGTGCGCGTGTGTGTGTGCAGACTTGTGCGGTGCAGTGTTAACATTTGCTCCGTGGAGCAATGGCAAATTGCAGGGTGTCAGATGAGACTGTTTAGGTCAGATGATACGTATTGCTCCCTCTGCCCCTTATCTCGCTCTCTGATACCGAGCACCCCTTTCATCTCTCTCAATAGTGTGTGAATAGAGGTGTGTGTGTGTTTGTGCGCCTCTTTGTATGGCTCTGTCCTTCACACGGGAGCACTCATTGATCCAGCACAGCTGTAGAGAGAGAGAGTGTGTGTGTGTGTGTGTGTGTGTGTGTGTGTGTGTGTTGCCTGAGGGGGGTTTCCAGTCTGGATCGATAGAGCTTGCTGTTGGATTCCCCTCTCTCTTGTCACGGATCCCTCAGTGTGAGTGTGGTGAGACCAGGCCAGTCTGTTTGACGGTAAAACATGCACATATGAACAAGCAAGAGCATGTGTGTGTGTGAACATGTACACACACGCAAACACACACACATACTCACATGAGCGGATTTCTGTGACTAAGCTGATCAGGACAAGTCATCCATATGCTTTAATAAAAAAGCTGTAATGTATATTTTCCCTATGAACACATGATCATAATACAACACAATATATTTAGAGAATATTATCATCATTAATGTAAATATAAATTTATGCTTTAAACACTTCATAAGTTTTGATCATGTCCAAATGTCAAAGTACTAGATACATTATACATATGTATGATATTTAGATACAGTATATTCATGGAGTAGGAAAGCAGTGGCGCTCCCAGAAGGTGGGCAGGGGGCATCATGGCCCCCCTGATACAGTTGCTAGCCCCCCACCAGCCCCCTCTGGTGAAAATAATTGGAGGCCAACATTACTGTCTGTAAGGGGCTGTGGCATGATAACTTTTTTAGGCTAGAAAGGTAGTGGTCTTGTGAAACCAAACAACTTAAGGCCCCGATGACACAGAAGGTGTTTGCAGGTTGCAAAACGTGAATTGCGCCGCACTAAATGGGACATCACTAGTAAAAAAAAAATCTTGCTGCACCTCTTTACAGTAATTAGTATCTAGTCCCTAAAATGGACAGGCAGAGGGTACTTGCTCTAGCTTTGGCGAGAGGTTGTCAGGAAATAGTTGTTGGGCACAGGGAAACAGAGATCTGTGTGGGTACATGAGACTCTAAAAAAGAGGGTGGATCACAGGAAGTACCACCAGTTGGTCCAGGACTTTCTCCTCCATGATGGCCTTTTCCAGGCATATTTTTGGATGACTTGGGGGCAGTTTGACAACCTACTGTCTATTGTCAGGCTGTACAGTTCTGGGTATCCAGCAACCGCTACCACCAGTTTCTCCTCCATTGTTTACCAACTGTAAACTTGTCGTGACCACTGCATAAGACCCACTGCCCACCAATTAGCCGATTGGCCAATGGGGAAAAAAGATGACAACAAAAGAGACGACGCAGGGCATTTTCCGCTTTGAGTTTATTCAACTTGAGGAGTTCAGGGCTCTAGGGCGCCTAGAGCACAGAAAAGCAAGAGTGTCACAATGCTAAAACCGCAAGCAAAAAGCTTAATTCTCATTATTAACAATTA